ATAAAGAAAAGAAATAAAGAAAAAAACATGAGAGATATGGTTGTGTTTGGTTTAATTCTCATTAAATTCCTAAATCTACTACTTTCTTTAAACCACAGATTGAATTAGCCTTTGCTGATGAAAGGAAAGGGAAGTTACCTTATTGTCATCTGGAATAGAACTTCCAGTACTTTTGTGCCTTGGGTGTCCTGTCCCAGAAAAAGCATACCTTCCATTATTGACATCCTTATTGTATTCAGATTTTGCCTGTCTCATACCTGGTTTCTGCTGTGAATAATCGAAATTGCTTCTATTGACAAGAGATTCTGATCTTATCCTCCTATGGCTCCAGGCATCTTGGTTACGAGAAGCATTTTCTGTAGAAGGGCTGTGCCTTGATTTTCTTTCAGCATGGTGTTTTCCTGCTGAAACTGACATGTTAGAGTTAACATGGAGAGGGGACTGAGCTTGACGGAAATTACTATTGCTTTCACGGCCTCCCATTGCAAGCATAAATGCCTCCGGGTTCTCCTCAGGATCATTTGGGTTCATCTTCATTCCAGACTTTTCCCTACGTGCATTCTCGAAGAAGGCTGTATAAGGTATATCATCCTTGTCCCACTGGCCAAATTTTGGAACATGAGAGTGTGACTGTAATGGAGTAACGAGTAAGGATTGTTGATCAGAAAATTCAGTTTTCGATCAATTACAAGGGAAAACAGATACATAGAAACAAGAAAAGAAAACACAAGAATGGTCTGCAACAAATTTCTAACACTAAATACTTGCATAATGTACTGAAACATGATCCCTTATGTTTCATATGTCCAAGTTTCACAGTAGATTCCACCATTGAAGACACCTGCTTAGAACCACAACTTAATATAGCAACTGCAGGAAGAGGTTTCCTAACGTAAACTACCAAAATTTTGACTAATTGGGTTCATCTTAACACTAAACATACCAGGATGCAAGCAACAGTGTGGAACTGGATTGGATCGGACTGAAACTGGACCAGTCCAGACCAAACCGAAGCCAAACTTGAAGAAAGTTCCCAACTGAAGACTGGAGCAGTATCACTTTGGTTCGGACTGGACCAGACTGTAATTTTCTGGTCACATTCTATCCAAAAGGTCTCCTTTTATGGTCAGGAGGTAGGACGGTTGGTTGTTTCCACAATGATTTATTGATGAATCAGAAACTTCTTATCCAAGAACATAAATTCTAATAAATTACCAAGAGAAAAATCAGCAAAATCAACGTAAACCAACTAACCTGTTTGGCACTTCTATAGTCCTGAATAACAAGTAAAAAGGTCTCTTCTTTAAAGTGTAGTTTAAGATGACTTTTCACTTGGCTTGTAATGTCCCTACTACAA